TGTGTGTGTGTGTGTGTGTGTGTGTGTGTGTGTGTGTGTGTGTGCGCGCGCGCGCGCGCGCGAACTCCACTGTGCTGGCTTTATAGAATTGACCAGAGATGCTGATCTGTGCAAAGGCAAACCATTTGATAGGGAAATATGATTTAATAAGATTCACTTACTTTTTTCCAAGCGAGAATATAATTTAGCTCCTCATCGTATCTTAAATATAACCATAAAGGAATGTTTCATTGTCTTACAACTTGTTTTTCTATCAAGCTCTAGTAGTTTTTTAACTTCTACATAAATTCTACGTAATTTGCGCGTAAGTGCGAATGATGGCATATTACTGACAGTTTTATTTTTGTACACATGCTTTTGTCTACAGTGCGATAGTGTTGGCACGCGCGAATCTAAACCTGCGGGGTATGTGGTATGGATTTTACTTAAGCGTGTGCATTTGCGTGTGTGTGCGCGCGTGCGCGTGCGTGTATACGCGCCTGGGCGCACGCGTGTGCGTACGTGTGTGCGTGCGTGAGTGCGCGCGCTTGTGTGTATGTATTCACATCTATGTGAATGTCGAGAATCCCGCAGTATAAGCTGTATGTATTTACTGGTGAGAGGAAAGGGGCCCGATCAATAACCCTGGTGCGAAGCCTAGCTGGCAAGCACATCTCTAGGCACTGCATGTTGCCATTTTACATTTCCTCTCCCTCGAGATGAAATCTGTTCCTATTTAAGACGGTTTCATCTCCCCGTCATCGTCGAAAGACTTTTCTCGCCTGATGACGGATGCACGCGCCTTGGCGAAAAGATGTGTCACAGAAACTATAGGTTTTCCATATATGACATGTATGGAATTCCACGGCTCTTGCAACGTTTTTAATGGCATTTCATCTAAAATGTCTGACGTTAATGCGCAAGTAACAATAAGGGATGACGTGAGATGAATTCTCTAATGTAAATCTCGTGAAAACGTTCAGAGTGGAGGTTTTTGCTCTAAATATTTAAACAGAAATAAAGCATGCCGGTGAGGAAATTATCGAGACAGATGCATAAAATTGGCCGCGCTTTTTGCTTCGCTCGGTAACGCATACGATGAAACTTGTTGTGCCTTTCTTTCGCAATCGCTGCGTATATGTCATGCATCATCGATAGATGGCTTAGTCTATACATGCCGAGTTCGCAGCCATCGTATGCATGACGGCGCTGCCGCTTGGTAATAATCGAAATCACAATCAGTGACGGAATTCTTTCTCGTTTTACGCTCTCCTAATCACTTGTCGAACTCGATTCAAGGGAAATTCGTTTTGCTCGACAACGTCCTTGCCTCTCCCGATTGATATGCGTGTTTGTGCGCACGCGTATGTGCGTGTGTGTGTGTGTGTGTGTGTGTGTGTGTGTGTGTGTGTGTGTGTGTGTGTGTGTGTGTTGTGTGTGTGTGTGTGTGTGTGTGTGTGTGTGTGTGTGTGTGTGTGTGTGTGTGTGTGTGTGTGTGTGTGTGTAGTGTGTGT